TTCAAGTACCTAGCTACTTATTGGTGGTAGGAACCAACACCATCTATTTGAGGCAAGCAAAAGGTCTAAGTCCTTTCTTAGGAGTTATGTATGACTCCATCCGTTTGGAAACACCTCAAACTTAGAACAATTTAGTGTCTGTCATGGTATCTCATCTCATCAGAACAAACTCAAGTATGAAAATCATGTCAAAGGCAAAGTTACAAGTAGTAGCTTTAGATTTCTACCTATTGAACGTGGAATTAGTGTTGGATGTGATTCAAGGATGTGAATCCAAACATGTTATTAATTGTGCATCTAGATTGGTTAAATTGAATGTTGCATTAGTTTGTAATGAATTGTAAGTTTTTCATTTCCGGTTTACAGTTGTTGATAATTGTAGTTAACATACTGGCTTAGTAGAAGAATTGATTTATAGAATAGAGGGTGTAAAATGTAGCTTCTTAATTCTTCAATTTATTGTAGCCCTGAGTTCATTTCTAGGATGGATTGTTACATGTTTTTTCTCATTTTCTTTTTCCTTAGTTCCTGATTGTCTATGCAACTTTTATTTCCCGAATTAAAAGGTTGATGGAATTTTTGTTGCACATAAAGTCCCACATTTCTTGAACCACTCAAGTGTAGAGTCTTTATATATCAAAGTGCTCTTTACACTCCCAAAGAGGCAAACAATGGGTGGTGGGCTCTTTAATTACTGGATGCTTCCAGTGCACTATTTTCCCATCCCGAAATATTCCTTCTCTTTTCATTCATCCTCTTCAGTTTGAATAATGTTTTTAAAATTATGGTATTTATTAATAAATAATATTAAAGATATAGAGGTATAAAATGATTATTTATCTCGTATCCCCCTTTATATAATATATATATATATACTTATATATATTACATCACTAATATATATAATAAGATATAAATTATATATAAATAAATATTATATTTGAATATATAAATATTTTTTTTAAAAAAATATAAATTATAATAAATAATTTATATTATGGTAATTTATATTATGCTGAGCTGTAAAATGTAATTACCAATGGATAGTGTTATGTCAGAAACTTTGAAGTTTCCAACAGATGATCTGTTAGTTAGAAATGTTTAAAATTCCCTTGAAAATATTTTTTAAGCCCTAAGGAGAGCATTATTTTATATATTAGTTGTCTTTTTCTTAAGCTATTATCCCATGTGGTGTGTCTTCATCTGATTGGTTAGAAGAAACTAACATAAATTAAAAACTTACATGGTGTGTCTCCATTTGGAAGTAAAACCTAGTCTCCTTTGAATTATATAAAGAAAACTTACCACTACACCAACATATGTTAGTTGTGTTGGTCCCGAGTAGAACACAAATTTAGAAGGGGAGTTGAATAAATTCTTCACTTAGACGGTTTCTAATGGTCTCTCTTGCTTTCTTGCTAATTTATTTCTTTCTCATACAACTTATTACTAAACACATTCAGATTACAAACCAAACAAGATACAAAGTATATCAGAATTATTACACAGCGGAATAGATGTTGTTATCCAAATTGATTTTAGTAATTACCTTCCTTCACTTTATTACCAAATTGCATATATCATATCAGATTTCCCAAATTAGCCATCTATAATATTCAAGAAAACGTTTCTTTTACAATCTTGAGATTCTTTTTATCAATTCAATGTGAATTATAACAAGATATGAAGGTAAAGAGAGAAAATACAAAGTGATCTATACTGGTTCAACTATACAAAGGCCTACATCCAGTTTCAAACTTAGCTCCCCGCTAAATCTAGTCTTTCTACTATAATATTCTTTACAAACACCATGTACAAGCAATATTATAATCAAAAAACACAATCACCTAATCTTGATCCCACAAGATTATACAATTTCCATAATTCTTGCACCGTAGGAATCCATTTGAGAAAACCTATCTCATCAAGATTTCTCTTTCATTCTTTCATGAGATACCCTTATCTCGAAGAGTCACATACCATAGCATACCCAACTACACAAACAAGAGTTACAAGATCAGAAAAGATACACATGTAGTGTAGATTGATCTTTCACAATGAATTATTTAGTAATGTTGAATTTCTTGAACTTATTTCAAGATAACTTTCAAAAAGAGTTATATTTATAGAGAAAATAAGATTTGAACATTAAAAACTCGTAACAACAGTAATCTATTACCAATATCAGGTAATCTATTACCAATTTTTAATTAGAACTGAAATCTAAGAAACAAGAATAGAGGTAATCGATTACTTTTCCTGGTAATTGATTATCTCGAGTCCCAGAAATCATAGAACTCATTTTTCAATAGAGGTAATCGATTACTAACGTTGGTAATCCATTATCTCGATACTTTTTCAACTTGTTTCACTTGTTTTCACTCAAAAGTCACCATGGTAATCAACTACTTCATTTGGTAATTGATTATCATAGAGAGGGTGTTGAATTCCACTTCAAAACTAAGGTTCAATAATTTATTACCTCACATGGTAATCTATTACCTAACTTAATCATGAATTCTTTTGAATGAATCAAGTTCCATTTTATGTCAAAACACATTATAATCTCTTACATTATGTTTTCACATGAAATAAGAAACATTAAGTTGAAATATGAGTTTTATGTTTTCTAAAACAAGATGTAATTTTGAAATTAATTCATCACAATAATCAAACACATCCAAGCGTAAGTCTAATAACAAGCAATACATTATCCTTTTCAATATAGGCCATAAAATACAAAAATGAATGAAGCAAACTAAATAAATCTATACAAATTTAACGTTATCATCATTAAAACTAAAACTTTTTCAGTCTTCATAAGTGGCTTCAGTAATTGACTTAGTAATTAACTTAGCAATCTTCAATAAACTTAACAAGTTGAAAATATATGACAAAATGTATTTATGTATATGTCATCAAAATTAATCATTAATAATTATTTAAGTTCTTTAGTGTACTAATTTATTTTTTCATGTTGGACTAACTTAACTAATAATTATTCCAATGCCTACATATACACATTTATTTTTCTTTTCATCCTTATAATTAATCCATAAGGTCATCTATCCTTGTATTAACATACACGCATATCAAATCATATTAGAATATCTACTTTAAACATTTATATATACCATCCCCAAGCATGTATGAATCAATCACCATTTACTCCACACAACATGTACATGAAACAACTTTACCACATAACATCATACAACCTTTAATAACCTCTCAATCTACATGAAAACACCTCAGAACATCATAACAAAATCAATTTTTATCCTTGCATTGTCTAACAGTTCAAAAACATTATGACAGCATACATCTCTCTTCAACAACTATGAAAGAAAATGATACACACAGAGTTATCGAATACAAAAAAAAAAAAGAAACCCGCATTTTTCGTTTCGGTTGAACACAGTGCAATGCATGACGAACCGAACGAATACCTCGGACACGTGAGCAGTGTCGTCCAAGTAGACGTGGCATCCTACTAATCTTAGGGTCTGTCAATGGTGATGAACAAGAAGGGAGAAGAGTGGGCGAAAGAAGGGAGAAGAGGGCTCAGAACTTTCTCAACGGAGTTTGCTCTCCGTAGTTGCTCGCAGCGGCTACCAACGTTGCTGAGTGAAAGGGTTTAGTGGCACGGGTGTTCACGGGCCGCACATATAGGGTTTATTTCTACATCGGTCATAAGAAAAATCGATGTAGAATAATTCCTGATTCTATTTTTACATCGGTCATAACCAAAATCGATGTAAAATATGTTTGTATTTTTCATTTATTTACAAGTATGCCACCGTATTTATAATTTACATCGGTTTTACTACAACCAATGTAAATATAGCGATGTAAAACAGTCTTTTTGTAGTAGTGAGTTGGAGGCAAAGGAGCACCACGTGAAGCATTGCAATGAACCACCGCGAATGACAAGGAGTAACGGAGGCAACAACGTCACTTTATGGCAGAGGTCGCCAAAGATGAAGAACAATGTCTTGAATGTCTTCAGAGATTGCAACAACGTTTTTGTGAAGAAGATAGAAGTGCAAATGCAATGATTTGCCTCGCGAAGAAGATTAAAATTAATATGAGATTAAATTTGCCTTTAATATTATATTTTACATCATATAAAATCTACTTTTTACATCAATTAAAACATAACCAATATAAAATATTTCACTTTATTTATAAAAATATCACTGTCTTTTTTACTATAACAATTATTTTCAAAATAATAAAATAGTCTATCATGGAATCCATATTTTTCCATTAGTAAATATTGTTATCATAACAGGATTAGTGATTGACTTAATCAAAATACATGATCAATAGATTATTGATCATTAAACTATTGAATCACTAGTTAAAATGTATAAGCTAATATTTTATTAAATATGTATTTTATATTATTAATAAAATATAAAAATTATTTTTCTCATGCATTATAACCAAAAGCATGTTGATGTTGCGGTTCATTAATCTTTCAAATTAAACCCCATGGACTTCGGTTTGACACTTATCTAGAGCAAAATGAGCTCTCTTTTTTTTTTTTTTTGTATAAATTTCTTTCAAGCATTGGTCAAACAAAATCAGCTAAAACAAAATTTCTTCAAACCCACTCCATTCAAAAGTGAGTGAAAAATAAATAATAAATGCTTTTATTAATTTCAACACATACGATATTACAAGAAAATAAAAGGCAAATTTTGTGTGAAGATAAAATGATGGGGGGAAAGAGTAGTACTTT